TTTACTTTGTAAATCAAGGGAAGGTTATACTTGAAAATACAGGAATTTTACAAAGAATTTGTAAATTTGTAAAATCACATCACCACGGCAAGGCTACTAATGGTTTTTGTGTTGCCTCTATATACCTGTATAAGTCTGCATTTATAACTGACCCCTTTGTGTTGATTACATATAGTGTCGTCGTGCTTGAGTGTATACATTTTAGTCCTAATTTTTTCCAGATATTCTCTACCCCACCCCAGGACTGCAGTGATACGTATGTTAGAACACTTGATACTATCCCACAGGTCATGTCTTCGTTTTCTCCCTGTCTCGGCTTCATTTTAATTCTATCGCCAGGTCTTCAGGTTCCTGATCTTTTCTACTACAGTATTTCATCTGTTAGTCCTACCCATTGTATCTTTCCTTTCAGATAGTATATTTTTCATTTTTAGACATCTCTTTTTTGTCTTTTGACTTCCATTTCTCATCATGTGCATGATTTATTTTTATGCATATGGAGAATAGCTGTTTTTAGGTCCAGGTTTGCTAGGACTTAATTTCATCATTTTTGTTATTTTTGGTTAGTTTCTGTTGGCTTATTTTTCTGATTATGGGTCAGATTTTCCTGCTTGTTTATATATTCCTGGTAATTTATTAATAGATTGGAAGCCAGACATTGTGAATTTATGTTGTTGAGTGTTGGATTTTGTCCTAGCATATAGTTAAGTTACTTGGGCTTGATTGATTAAGATCCTTTCCATGTTTGTTTTTAAACTTTGTTAGGACAAAATCAGTCTTGAGTGCTGATTTAGCCCCATTACCAAGGTGATGCTCACCTGAGAACTCTACTTGATGTATTAATCATGAAGTTTCTCTACTCTAGCTAGAACCCTGACTGTTCAGAGCCCTCATAAGCTTTCTGGCGATTCTCTCCTAGGCCTTGTGGACTGTCCCTCCCCATATGTCCAGATCAGCATTTATCCAAAGATTCTAAGTGATCCCCTGTAGATCCTGCAAGCTTTCTTTTTGTATAGCTCCCTCCTTTTGGGTACTCTGCCCACAAATTCTAGCTGCTTTGGCTTTCCGTAACTCCCAGTTTGTCCCTACAACTCAGTGAGAATTGGTCTCTGTTCGGATTCTTCCTAACTTACAGTGCTTCCTAGGAGCTCCTCCCAGTCAGTGAGCTGGGGTGAACACGGGACTCACTTTCTTTTCCTCCTCTAAGGGTTCACAGTCCCTGCACTCCATGTTGTCCATCGTCTGAAAAACAGTTGTTTATGAACAAAATATACGTTGTTCAGTTTTCTAGTCATTCACAGCAGGACAAGAAATCCAGATTGTCTTACTCCCTCATGGCCATAAGCAAGAGATCAATTAACAGATTTTTAGTTTTGATTTTTGTCTTTCACTTGAACCTCTTGAAAGAAGTAGTACTCAGTTATAACATTTTTATTGAGGTATCTTCTTTTTAAAGGTATCTTCTGGATACCTTTATTTATATAGTCTTAGTGTTATTTGTTAATCTTTGTCTTTTTATTGAAACATAACAAAAAGTAGAGGAGACTGATTACCTACTAGAGCTTTGATATAAATCATATATTATTTGTGAAAAGATAATATTCAGTATAACCAACTTGGTGAGTGCATTTTATTCTAGTATGAAAGTTTAATTTCATGTTAAAATACTATACTAGCAACTGCTCTTGTAGCAAGTGTTTGCAGATAACTTGCTCTTTTTGCCAGTGCAGTCCCTTTTGTGATAATATCCAGAATGCAGACTTTTAAGAAATAATGTTTATTGGCCAGGTGCAATGGCTTACGCCTGTAATCCTAGTGCTCTGGGAGGGAGGATCGCTTCAGGTCAGGAGTTCGAAACCAGCCTGGGCAACATAGCAACACCCTGTCTCCACCAAAAATTTTAAAAAATTAGCCAACTGTGGTGGTGAGTGCTTGTCGTGCTAGTTACTCAGGAGGCTGAGGTAGAAGGATCACTTGAGCCCAGGAGTTTGAGGCTGCAGTGCTAGGATCGCACCACTGCACTCCAGCCTGGGTGCCAGAGTGAGACCTTGACTCTAAAAAGTGGGGGAGGCAGTTGTAATTATTTTACCTTCTCAGGACGAAACCTGGGTGCTGATAGTTTAGAAAGGAGTTGGAAGTATTGAGAGTTCCATTGTATATAATAAATCATACATTTCTTCATTTGTATTAACAATATATAAATGAAATTTAACAGCATTGTGTTCTCTAACCAAAAATTTGGTTGTGCCTTTTAAATACTGCCTTTATGTTGCACAATTTGGAAGTCAGTGTGTTTCTGAAATTGATATGTGTTGACTTAATGCACAGTAGAGCAGTTGACTAATGAAAGGGGGGGGTCTTCCTTTTTTATAAGATTAATATAGGCATCTTTCATTGTAAAATAGCATTTTTATTGGTCATAGGAAAAATCCTTTCCCTTTTCAAAGTAGTAGTTTTTGTTCTGTGGTGTTTTGTTGTTGGTTTATGAGAACATAAGTCAGTTGATGTGCTTGCTGTACTGAGCCACGCACAAATTCGATATAATGACCATGACAGTGAAGTTACTGTTTTTGCTCTTTAAAAATATGGCATACTTACTTTAATCTTAAGTATAGCATTCACAAGTATTCATAGCTTTCGTTAATAGTTTGTTTTAACATTAGTATCCAAGGGATCTAAATTTTTATTATGCATTTATATTTTCGGTCTCCTCCTCTTTGGGGCAACAGTGTGTGTGTGTGTGTGTAAGATGTTTTCTTTTACCTTGAGTGCATTGTTTAAAGGTTCAGAATTCTCTTAGTTCCAGCATTCTTGGATTTGCAATAAAAGTCAGTATCTATCTGTACTGTTTTAGAGGCCTAGGCTATCCAGTGTGGTAGCCACTAATTGCTTATGGGAATCTGAACATGAGAAAAATATTTTCTAGCAGTAGATTTATTGTTATTTTCCAAAAACAAGATACTGGTATTTGCCCAGCCTTATTTGGGTATAGTATGATATAAGGCCACTATTTTCAGAACTGTGCTTCCTTACCTTTCACATGCTATGGCACACTGGGATAAACAGAGGAGGGGGCTCACTACTGGAGGCTGCAGATTCGGGTGCTGTGTGATATCCAGGCAGACCCATAATCTATTCTTGGTACACCAGTCTGCAGTGGCACAAAGCTCAATTTCAGAATGTTCTCCGGAATTCATTCCTGGGTGTTTCTCTTAGTGTATGAGCAAAATTGTTTGTTTTTGAGATAGGGCCTTGCTCTGTTGCCCAGGATAGTAGAGTACAGTGGTATCATCATAGCTCACTGCATCCTCAAACTCCAAACCTCAAGTGATCAATCCTCCTGCCTTGGCCTTCCAGAGTGCTGAGATTACAGGTGTGTACCACCGTGCCCAGCCCTATAAGCAAAACCTGAATTCATTCTGTTTTTTTATTCATCATTTTTATATGTCACATTCCCAGCAAGACCTTGTGGGATCTTGGCATTTTACAACTCAGAAAAACTTTGAAAGCATTCTCCATGAACTTGGAGATTTAATAGGTGTTTATGTATGTGGCCTTTCTTTTCTTATTTTAGAGGGAAAGGAGGAAGGAACACCATGACATAGTGATAAATTTGAATTCTGTTATACAAACTAGGAAAATAATTCTCCTACCTGAAATATGGCTTTGTTAAATATATGCAGTATAAAAATCTCAACAAGAAGGCCACAAATCTGTCCACCCACTCCTCCCCCAAATAAAATTCCTTTACACTGTTCAGCTAAGCAGTGGCTTAGTTGGCTATTTCTAAAACTTTATCTTTGTTCATTGGCTTTTGGCAAGATAAATAGTTACAAGCACCAGGGTCTTAAAAAAATATATAAATGGGTAATCCATTCACCCAGTATTTATCTGCCTCAAGGATTTTGGAAAGAGTTGACTTTTATGGTCTAAATCTTTGATTCTTGTGCTTTCCTGTTGTCCAGTCTCTTGATATTTGGGCCAGTTATTTCTAGGATTCCTCAGCCTGTCTCAAGGGTGCCTCTTAAAATATTGTAACCTTGCTACAAAGCTAGCACTACTAAATACATACCACATCACTTTACTCTGAAATCTCATCATAAAGTATTTGTTCCTGGCATAAGAAATGACACATAGTTAGAGCAGATGTCTTTTTGTTTCTCTTGCATCTTGCAGTAAACTCTCTTTCTTCTCTTCCCCACTCCAGTCACGTGTTCAGTAATCACACTGTAACTAGCTCTGTGAGTTTGTACTGTTTTCCATTTGGGGTGTTGTGCCCTATTGCTTGCTTTATTACTTGATTCTGGTTCTGTCTTCTCAGGATAAAGTAGGTGTGGAATATGCCTCCTCACCTCATCCCCCAACCCCAGATCTCAGTCCTTTTAATGCTGTAAATATGCTTTCCTTACTGACTGACTCGTCTTTAGGTTTTCTGTGGCCAGTTCACCAAAAGAATATCAAAATTTTCCCCTTATTAGACATTGAGCCCGTCCTGCAACAAACCTACCCACCTAGCTTTTCCTACTGCTTGGCAGAGAGGCTAGTCATGCCGTGATCATTGACATTTTTAATTCAGTGTTAATTATAACAGCTAATTTACCTAATAAGGAGTTGTAATTGCTTTAATTTAGGTGACTGTAACAACTTGAACTTGGGGAAAAGATAAAGTATATAAGAAAGAAAATTAGCAAGATAATTATAGGTTAAGGGTGCTGTCATAGAATGTTTCACAAGTTGTTATTTCTTTGCATTCATGAATTTAGTGAAATATTAATAAACTACGAGTATTTATTATTTGTTGTGTTTCTGTTTGTTAAAATAGATTCACACTCGTTTATTCTGGGGAGCTTTTTTTGGTGGATCCAAATATTTATAAAAGAACTTTAAGTTCACTTTTTGATGACATGTTGATACAGGTTGTTAAGAAGAATATTCTAAGTTCTGAAACTAGTAAGTTGGGAGAGAAAAACTAATGTCTTTTTTTTGTTTCAATTATACAGCAGATATAATTTCTACAGTAGAATTTAATCATTCTGGAGAATTACTAGCAACAGGTGATAAAGGTGGTAGAGTTGTCATCTTTCAACAGGAGCAGGAGGTAAGTGTTTAAAATTTAATATCTAAATTTCAGTTTGATCTTGGGACTGGAGCTTGTGTTGTACTGAGAATCTCATCAGAGAATGTTGGAATTCTTTTAAAGAAGCGTGTGTTTATTGAGTAGAACATCCAATATATAGATAGCTCTTGTTCTCTAAGCTTTGTGTGCATGTGTGTACATGTGCGTGTGCTATTTTGATTTTAAAACACACTTTAATTGTGAAAGGAGTTGGTTAGAGAAGGGAGTGGAAAGTGATGGAATAATGTAAGATTTTAACCAGTTTTGAAGCCTTGGCCCTCGGTTATAATTTTTTTCTTAAAGCTCCATAGAGCAAAGTTGCTTTGACCTCTTCTCAATGCTTAGTTTCCTTTGTGTAATTGGAGGTGGGAGGCTAATTTAAAGAAAAAGCAGCTCAGTTATTATGACATTAGTTCATGCTAATACTGTTACAGTGATTTAAATATAAAGGTTTAAATGACAGTTGCATGTATGTGCATGTAATTGATAAGTGCAATGCTAGCTTTTAAAGTGAGTTGATGGGAGATTGTTTCCTTTTCTCTTTGAAGAAAGAGAAAATTGCAGAATCTAATTAAAGTGGATTTTTGTTTTGTTTTTCTTAAAATTTAGGCACACTTCTAAATCTGATAGACCAGATTTCTCACTAAAATTTTATGCTAAACAAGATTTGTCACACTGGGTTTTTTCTTACTCTGTCCCTCCATTTGTAGATCAGAGTTTAACCTTTAAAATCATGTTTTGAAACATCTGCCCCTGACTATAATATATTCAAAAAGTTTAATGTAGATAAATTGTAGGATTTTACCAATAGTCGTCTAAATCATTACACAGAGTTAGGTTTTAAAGGATTGTGAAATTCCTTAAATAAGCAAAGAATCTAGTAATAATACTACTACTTTGCACTTCTATAGCGCCTTTGACCTGAGGATCTCAAAGTGCTTTACAAACACTAATGAATTAATCCTCACAACACCCCAGTGAGGTAGGTAATTTAATTTTAAAAGAAATGGTTAATAGTGTCTGATTAGAAGATGCACAAACACTAAAAATGTTTCCTTTTATTTATTTATTATTTTATTTATTTATTTTTTTTTTGGTTGAAAGAAAATAAGACTCAAGCTTTGCTTGACAGAGAATGGTCTTGTGGGAAGGGGGGACTAAATCAGTTTTCTGTTCCTGTTTTTAAGCAGCTAAAAATTTGACCCTAAGAATTTTAAAGATAACATGGGACCTTAAAGATATTACAGTTTCCCTTTATTTACTGACGAGAAAGTCAAGATATAAATAGATCATTTTATTACTTAGTGGCAGAACTAAAAACCAGAACCCAGAATTTCTGACATATCATCTTTTCAATATTCTTCTCTGCCTTTCATGTTAAATAAACAAATTATTGACAAATTAATTTTGTTAATTAGAGTTTAGAGCAGGCCTTCCCATAGGCTTTCTCTGCCCTCGAATGTATTTTTTTACCGAAAGGTAATGGCTCTCTATACTTCGGTTTTGTTTTAAAGAAAGGTGTTTGGACTGTACAAATTCCTTTTGCTTACTATGTTTAATCTTGAAGGATAATACACAGCCTTAACATTCTGTGGGTTTCAGGAAGATTCATTTTTAACAAGGGCATGGTGTTATTTTAAAATATAAGTTGTTAATTAAAAGCTAATTTGGAAAAGATATTTTGCTTGAGAATAAAGTCATTTTCATCTCTGTAGGTGGTGGTTTGTTATTAAAGTCAAAATCAAATGTGAAAAAGATGGCTGGAATTTTTTTTTAATGGGGGAAATGTTCGCTGTATTATGGGTTCAAAAGAAATAATCAAAGTATTAGTATTTAGTATTTTCCTAAATGCTGTCAGTGATATATTCATTTGGAATTGAAGGTCTAACGTGTAGTTACTGAAATTGTTCAAACATTTTACTTACATTAGAAAATAAGACCAAAAAAAATTATTTTAAAGAATAGTCATCTCCTATGATTCTTTTCTGAAATTCCACTGAAGATTCTGAAGTGCTAATATTTTAAATACATGCCTTTGTAAGAAGAAATAAGCCAAATGACCTGACTTTTTGAAAAGGGCCACTGGTAGGAAAAATAGAACGTCCTTTTCATGTTTCTCTCATCTTAACCATATTAAAGAATTCAAGGTCTGCTGTGTTGCCAGTATTAAATGTATTTTCCACTTGAATGGTGGGTTTATTGGGCTGTAGCCCCATCATAAATTGAGGAGCATTTGTATATTGTTTCTGTGTATTGTTTTTTAAAAATTGTTGCCAAAAAACACCTAAAATTTACCCTCCCAACAGTTTCCAAGTTACAGTGCAATATTGTCAACACATGCACATTGTTGTACAACAGATTGCCTGGACATCCCATCCCCAATCTAACATGACTGAAATTCTACATCCACTGAACAAGGACTCCACCTTCTGCTCCTACCAGCCCCTGACAAAACCACAGTGCTCCTGCTCCGTTGCTATGAATTTAGCTGCATTAGATAGCTGTTAGAAGTGGAATAATGCAGTATTTTCCCTTTTTGGACTGGCATATTTCACTCAGCGTAATGTCCTCAGGGTTCATCCATGTTGTAGCATGTCAGGATTTCCTTCTTTTTTAAGGCTGTATAATATTCCATTGTGTGGATAGACCACATTTTCTTTATACATTCATTTGTCCATGGACATTTTAGTTACTTACACCTTTTGGCTCTTGAGAATAATGCTGTTATAAACATGGCTATGCACATACCTCCCTGAGGAGTTCCCATTTTTAATTCTTTTGGATAAAAATCCAGAAGAGAAATTGCTGGCTCATATGGTAGTTCTGTTTTTGTGTGGTTTTTTTCGAACCTCCATACTATTTTCCATAGTGGCTGCACCATTTGATGTGGTATATTTTTAAAATCTCTGTGAAATATACATGGAGAAAAATTTATTTAAAACTAAATAAATATACACAGAAAAGGGCACAAAACATTAGCAGATTTTACATAGCAAACATCTAGGTCAAGAAATAGAACTTCCCATACTTCCATCAACCCTTGTCTTTCCTCTTCCTCTCCTTGTTGAGTCTTCTCATAGAGGAAGATGTGTCTTCTCACACTTAGTTTTAGAATTGTAGTAGTTTTAGAACTTTTTAATAACTGGAATCCACAATTGTGTTGTAGAAAGCAGACATTTTGGTTGTTTCAAATTGTGGCTATTAAGAAATGCTGCTATGAGCATGCTTGCTCATGTTTTTTGGTGTGCAGTCATCAGTGAAATTATTGCGCCATGGGGGTAGGCATTCCGTTTTTAGTAGACATCACAGTAAAAAGTGGTTCTGCCAATTTTTATTCTCAAGCAGTAAGGAATTTTCTGGCTATTCCCACATCTTTGCCAATGCCTTATGTTGCCAGTCTTAAAATTTCAAACATTTTGGGGTTGTGAATGTATTTTTTTGTTTTAATTTGTACTTTCTTGATTAACATTGAAGTTGAGCTTTTTATGTGTTTATAATTATTGGGATATCTTTCGTGAAGTGCCTTTTAAAATCTCTTTATTTTTCTTCTGGGTTATCTGTCATTTTTCTTATTGATTTGTAGGCTTTTCTTTACAGTTTTTGCATATGAACCCTTTGTGAGTTACATTTGTTGGAAGTATCTTCCATTGTGTGACTTGAATGGTGAATTTTAATAAATGGAGCTTATTAATATAGTGTAGTTGATCAATATTCTCCTTATGGTTGCTGTCCTGTGTAAGAAATACTTTTCTACTCCATGGTCCAGGAACATATTATGTTTTAGAACTGCACTGTATAGTATGGTCGCCACTAGATCCACGTGGCTACTTACACTTAAATTAATTGGGAATTGAGTCCAGTCTCTCCCCTACTGCAAGACCTGTTGCAGTGGTCCCTATACCTATCTCCATGGCCCTCTTTGAATATAGTCTGCCTTACCACCTTAAAATAAATGAAAATAAATACATTTAAATTAACTAATAATAAAATTTAAAATTCACTTTCTTAGGCACAGTAGCCACATTTTAGGTGCTCAACATGTGGCTAGTGGCAGCCATATTGGACAGCACAGATGTAGATATTCCCATCATTGCAGAAAAGTTCTATTGGACAGTGTTGTCCAAAAGCTTAGTTATTGTACATTCACATTTGTATCTCTTATTCATCTGGAATCAGTTCACACAAGTGGTTTGAGGGTAGGGGTCAAGCTTCATGTTATTTCCTATGAATAGTCAATTAACCTGACACCATTTAGTGAAAAGACCATGCATAGCAAAGCCACCTTTGTCATAATTTAGGCCTATTTCTGGGCCTGTTTCTGTTCTGTTTCTTTGGCGTATTTGTCTGTCCTCATGCCAGTACCACACTGTCTTCATTACTTTGCTTTAAAATTTGGTTATGATAAAATATCCTTTATGTACTTGTGAATTCTGTTTGCATCTGTGTTGAAAATGTATAATTATGTTTTTGTTTACTGTGTTTTTATGTATGTCAGATATGTCTCGTATCTCATTCTGATGTCTCCTTTGAGTCTTTTTCAAAGATTTGAAAGCACTATTATAGGTGTTGGAGATAAAGCACTTCTAAATTTGTTGCAGAAAATTTCACACAAATAGATTGTATGGTTAAGAAAATAGATTCTCTTAGTTATCGTAAAGGCAGGCTAAGACAAAAGAGATGAAAAGGCAGTGCAGGTAAACCCCAGTATGAAGCATTCAAAGATGTATCAAAATTCTCTGGGACTGCAGGGGAGGTTTTCAAGCAAAAAACAAAAATGTCTTCTTTGATGCATTCTCATCAAGTGGCACAGTGTTGAGGACATAAGATTGTGTTTCTTTGTATTCAGACTGTCCTTGGTTCTTGCAGGAAACGACGATGTCACAGTCATTATAATCTAAACACCCTTCCCCAAGTGTCAGGACAAGTTCCACTGCGGCTGAGGGCTCTGTTCCCTGTAGTGTCGCTGTCGGGTTACTAGGCTGCTGGGCATACGCATGTTTTCTAGCCTCGTCTATTTCGTTACTGCTGCTGTCATCTCTGCCTTTTTTTTTTTTCTTTTTTGTCCTGTAGGCTTGTCTTTAAAAATTCTTTTACTGTAATTTTAGTGGAGTTTCAGGAGAGGGGAGGCTAATGCATGCATTCAGTCTGATATCTTTTTTAAGACATAATTTTCTCCTTGTGTGATACAATTTTTTTGTGTTGTGAAGAGATGGTGCTTCTTGAAGTCCATTGAGACTGCCAGACACCTCTGTGATTTTGGTTTTGGATCATGTAATAGATCATGTCTATTGACCATGTTGTTACTGAGTCTTGAGGGTGATGTTCTTGTTCTGTTTCAGAAAATATTTTCATAGGTTTGCCCTCATCAGATACAGTGTTTGGCTTGCCCTTGGCACTTCACATGGCTCACCTCAATTGTGTGGCTCTTAATCAATTTCTACTTTTGACTAAAGTTTTATGGGCACAAGTTACTTGAAGGTGAGGATTCTGTGCTATTAAATCTTTATCCCACTAGCACCTGGTGTACATAGTAGTATATACTCTAGTCTCTTGTTGAAATATTACATGAGAAACCAAAGTTTAAAATGTAACATTTATATTAAAAATTGAGGCTGAGTGCAGTGGCTCATGCCTGTAATCCTAGCACTTTGGGAGGCTGAGATAGGGGGAATTGTTTGAAGCCTGGAGTTCAAAACCAGCCTGGGCAACAGAGCAAGACCCCATCTCTACAAAAAATTTAAAAATTACCTGGGTGTGGTGTCACATGCCAGTTACCATAACTATACATGAACAATCTGGAGGCGAAGGTGGGAGGATCACTTGTACCCTGGAGTTTGAGGTTACATTGAGCTTTGATTGCACATTGCTCTCCATCCAGCCTGAATGATGGAGTGAGACCCTGTCTCTAAAAAAAATAAAAATAAAAATTGAATTGCTTTTTAGCACATTATAGTTTTCTTGCAGAGTATGATGATAAACCTTGTGAGACTTGGTGAGTAATTTTAGGAGGAAGAATAATGAAATTTCTTCTAAAGTGATATTTGAGTATATATGTGTAATGGATTTGGTTATCTAATTTGGTATATGTATGGTAATGAGACCAAGATTCTAAGTTTGATTTTTACTCCCATGTGTGTCCCTGGTGTGGATTTTATGTTTTGTGGTACACTCTGTGTTCTTAACATTGGCAAACCACTCACTAATAATTAATTGATACTGCTGTCAGAGGCTTCAAATATAACTATACATGAACAATGCAGGTCATCAAGCTACTGGAAAAAACAACCCAAAACATATACTTCCAAGATGATTCAAGGAGGTTTTCTTTTGATATGGAGAAGAATAATCTCTTTTTATTATCAAGTAATCTAAACATTTGACTGGATAACTCACTTTTACTTAAAATAGTTGACTATCAATAATATTGGATTCTATTTTTTATTTATGATATTTTCTGTAGGTTTTTCTTTGAACTAGACTTTTAGTGGTTCTGATGAAAAGGTTTTTAATCATGTGATGACAAGTCAAAAGATGAAATTCTGAACATGATTATAATTCTCACTTTTGCTGAGGTGTTAGTGTTAACTGAAATCCTTCAGAAATAGTCTCTTTATCCAGTAGCTTAAATTATATTCTTTCAAACTGATACTAAATGAAATTAATCATCAGTGTGTGTGAGACCCATAGAAGGCTGACTTAAGGAGGGTAAGCAGTCGTTGGTGGGATGACATGGGACCATTGCTGGGCAGTGCTGAATATGGACTTGATCAATAACTGAGTTGTCTGTATCAGTGGTCTTGGGGTGCGAGATAGTAGTAAAAAGGTGTCGCTGTCGCTGCATCTATGAGTGCTCTTCTGTATTGAGTTTTTCAAGAGTGAAATAAAGGAAAGGCAAGTATCAGAAAGGAAAAGGCGGATAATACATCGTGTTAAACAGGGGATTGGCAGTTGACCCTAAAGTGGGCAGAGAAAGAGGTGTGCCTCAGCCATCTCTTTCTGAGCAAGCTTTAATCTTTACTTCTTAGGTGAACTCCCTTATTATGGATGCGCAGTTTTTTCATCAGTAGGCCTCCATGCTATGAAAAATACAATAGCAAATTAGTAATTAAATTGGTCCATATTTTAATGTCACTGTTTTCCTAATGACTTAAGCTTATTTATTGAGCTTTATTTAGCCTTATTTTCTCTTTAAGCTTTCTTATTTATTCCTTGAAGGCCTTTACATATAAAGAATATAATTGTATATAAGATACAGCTAATGAGCTATTTAGAATTTACAGGGTCTGTTGGAATTGATTACGTTCGGTTATTTTGAAATATCTTTCAACAATGGTCCAAATATTTTTGTTTCCGTTTTAGAACAAAATCCAGTCTCATAGCAGAGGAGAATATAATGTTTACAGCACCTTCCAGAGCCATGAACCAGAGTTTGACTACTTGAAAAGTTTAGAAATAGAAGAAAAGATCAACAAAATTAGGTGGTTACCCCAGAAAAATGCTGCTCAGTTTTTATTGTCTACCAATGGTAAGTGTACATTTTTTCTTTTCATGTGCCCACTGTGTGCACATACCCCATAGAGGATACTCTCCTCTTCAGAAAAATCACTGTTTAAGAGTTCTCCGAAAAGGAAATTTTTCTTCCCTATACAGAATATAAACTCTACTTCTTTCCCTTTTTTATTGTTCAGTTATAGTTTTTAGATTATCTGAAAGATTCTCAGGACCAAGTTTTTGCTTAGCACACCCAGTTTGTAGTGAAAACTGTAGCAGTGGGCTGCTACACCACTGGAGTTAGGTCACATGGCTCTTTCTGCCACTTCTCAGCTTACTAACCTTGGGCAGGTTCCTAACACTGACTTGACTTTTCCTCATCAACAAACTGGAGATAGTAATTTCTGTATTACAGTATGGTTGCGAACAGTAAACATGATAGCTTCTGGCATACATAAAGAGTGCAAGTGCTCAATAAATGTTAATTTCCTTTTCTTCAAGTGTTCTTAGACCCTACAAAGAGTATTTCAACCTGTAAATACAATGTGCTTTTGTCAGATGCTGGTCTCCATTCCAGGATGCTCTATAGAAGAGCGCTCTTCCTACTTGACCCCATTAGCATATTGCCTTCTTCCCCAGAAGCCATGTGGCTGGAACAAGATCACTTGTCCAGGGAAAGTTATTAAGTGAGGATTAGAGTTGTGTAATGACTCATGACTCTACCTGAATTAGAAGTCCTTTATGACAAGTGAAGGAATTGGGTGATATAGTTCTTCTAAATTTTTTTGAGTTGTTGTTACTTGGTTGGGGTCTTGAGTCTAAAGAGAATCATTAGAGTGATTGAGGGGATACTTGAGTTCTAGGTAGCCATGGTCTATAAAAATCTGTTACTAAAACTTTTTTGAGGTTGGCACAAGGGTTGAGATAAACCTCTCATATTGTCCTATCTCCTATTAATAGAAGCAGATTTCTAGCACCTGGACCTCACCATTCTTTGCCATTTGCAGCATGTAAACCTGTGACTTCTGGGGTGAGATGGTGGAAGATACTGAGTGCCCCTTATATCTGATTTATGCCTTGTAGCCCACTATATTGAGATCTTGGAAATGCAGTCCACAAATGATGCCACACTCCCTGATGGAAGTGTTTGCCTCCTCCTAGGTGCCCGTTTTTCTGATCATCAAAGCTGTCTCCAGCCAGCCCATCGAAATTTGTGCCCTCTGCCTTTTCTCTTTTCACAATAAACTACATTCCCCCTCTCCTCCTCATTAAAAGAAAAATAAACAGAAATAACGACCTAAAGCCTGTTTAAACTATTTAACTCACAGCATCATAGGTTGAGGAACTGTGTTTACTTCTGTCATATGTTGACTTCTAATCTTGGGTCAGTTTTTATATGATAAACTGTTATTTCAAATAGCACTTGGAGACACTGCTCTTTAGCTAATCGAATAATACATAATTACACCGTTTATATGCTTTCTACTTTCAGAAGTAAATGTTCGGGAGTCTTATGTTATACATATCCTGTATTGGAATATTTTATGGCAATTTATTATAGGCTAAATTGGTTTAATTTTTATAAAGGGAAATTTCTTTAAAATGTAGGCAGGGTAGAGAGAATAGTATGATGAAGCTTGACATACTTTTCCCCCAGTTTCAACAATTCTTAGTTCATGGCCAATTTGTTTCTTAGGTACTTCTTCCCTTCCCCACAGTGTAATTTGGAAGCAAATCACAGCTCAACTCATATGTGCATTAAATCTTAACTGTCTTTCAATTCTCCTTCTATCCATATGTGTCTTCCGGAGAGGCTTCCATGTGCTCCTGTGGCAGCATGTAAGCACCACAGGAGCCTTTCTAGTCACTGGACGCTACAAAGGCCCGTGGAAGGAGAGACCACTGGGAATTCCAGTGGTTTGGTTAGGGGTGTGTGAATCTATGTAGTTTTTAATCTGTGTCAACAGTGTCTCCTAAATATGTTTAGTGCATAAATTTGAAAAATTACCGATTAATAACA